ATAGGGATCTGGAGGGTCGGGTGAACAAAAGGGAATCAGATATAATAAAGTGGAAACCTGTGATTGTTCTCATTGTCAGGGACAGTGAGATAAATATCCGGACAGGAAAAGACAGGAAACAAAGATTAAAACATTGACTTGAATTACAGGATTCGTTAAATTAAAGTAATCGTTACTGAAAGATCAAAGGTCAGGCGTGCCGACACAGAAAATATGGAAAGGGAGAGGCGGCTTCTCCCGCTCTAATATTTTTAAGTCGAAGGGGGACTCAAGGTATCTGAGCCTAGTTTAAGAGCATAATAATCATATAGTAATACATTTAAAATAACACGCATCTTCGAAATCGCAAGTTAATCTACATGAGGCAAAGAACAACGCATACAGATAAGCCAGATTTGTAAAACAGATGTGCACGCAACACTCAAGTTCTGGAATGAGACTAAGGTTAAAAGTCCAGATGTGGAAGAACAACCAGGTAGTAGAAGTACTTTGGAGTGGCTGCTGTAACGGAGGACTGAGCACGCATGGGAATGTCCAATGTGCAGTAACGTCGAAATAACATGTAATAACATAACATCTTGTAGGGAGTCGGCAGTCCGAAACCCAAGTTCAAGGTGTCTCCTTCGTGCCAAAGAACTGCATGGCTGTTGAGTGAACAGTCGTTAACGAAGGCATTCAGGTCGTTATAGGGGCGACGCTTGCTGGTGGATGTAATGCCCTAAGCCCCTTCCCCAGCTAATAGTGAGGGTACTGTTGGGGTGACCGTTTATTAACCCTCAAATAATGCTTCAGGTCAAAATGGACGCTAGTCACGGCCACGTTTCGTAGCCCTTGCATTTTTGCTCCATTTGTAGACTGGAAGGATATAGTTTAGTTGCCCAGCTTCTGAGTTGAGTGCATGGTGTAACACTGTGAGCTGCGGATTTCATTTGAACTGGGATAAACATTTTATGTGTTTTTAGTTGACGCAGGAGCGGAGCAACTATGGGGCGACCCGTTTGCTATGAAGCTAAAACTAAGATTACCAGATAACCAGTCGGTGATCGCCAACAAGAAGAAATTATACTAAATGTATTAACCCTCACACCTCCCCTCCTACCAAACCATAATGGAGCTTAAGCGGATGGGTAAAGGAGTTAGCAATCTACCCAAAGTATTTCAGGATCCTCGCCGGTGCTACGGAGCTCGTGCACTGCTCTGAGAGTCTTCAGACTCGGGCTTGAGTCAGAAGTAGAACGGAGCACTTATGTGTTACCCTTGTGTCATGATGTTGATCCGTTGTCTAAACCTAAAGAAGACAAACGATTGGTTTAGTTTGGATTGAAAAAAAAACACCTGACCAACTGGAATATGAGGCGTGAGAACATGAGCACACATGGAGCAACAAGGCTTTCTGCAGATGTCCGCCGGCAGCAGCCGGTTCGACGTCATTCCATGCTACATTCTGGAGCAGCAGGGCTTTCTGCAGATGTCCGCCGGCAGCAGCCGGTTCGACGTCATTCCATGCTCCATTCTGGAGAAGCAGGTGGCAGTTAAACGTGTAAAAGGAATTCAACGGTTCAAGTGTGTAGACACCTTTAACAGATGGACTGAGAAGATGTTCAGTCGTAGTGCGAAATTATCCAAGTGTAGGTTTCTGAGTTTTGTTGTGTGTGTAAAGGGGGGGGGGGGGGGTAGCTCGCGTTTAATAGTGCCAGTCTTGTGTTGGTTAACAAGACCTCTGTACACGCGGTGTGCCTCTCATGCTTGGCAGTGTCGATCTTTACTCCCAATCCTTTCAGTATTAACAGTGATGTGAACACGCTGCTCCGGTCGTCCTATCTCTTGTATGGCATTAGCATTGTCAGTTCCAAACCATAGGCCGGTCATCCTCAACAAAGGCAGAACCCGTCAGTCTATCGGCTCTTTCATTGCCAACAACACCCGCACACCTGGGACAAAGGCGAAAGTAACTCCAGACTCAGTTACGTTTCGCAAGGATTTAATTCACTCTCTGCATACGGAGCCTGCCTCGATCCACCGAATCATGCTCATAGAATCACTCAGCACACACACACACGTATAAATAGTCCCGTGATTCCAACCATATGAAAGCTAGTGTCGCCGCCATCACCTCCATCGTCATGTTGCTGGTGGTCATAGAGAACAGACCACTGGCTTCCTGGGCTGTTCCATGTGCAGAGCCAGCTGTGAATGCCCATACACTCTCGTGTCCTGGTACAATGGACCCCTCAATGCAGCCTAACTCAAACTGCAACACAATTCCAGTTCCCTTCTTGAATAAATCAAAAACTCTATTTAGCTCAACCTGCCAACAGTCTCCGGTTATATTTGTGGTATGGTTTTTTTCCTCCACTTGCGTGGCTAAGATTGTGGTGTTTGCGCAAGCTGTCTGGCTGTATGTTCCTATCCTAATAGCTAGACCGCTCCCTTCAGTCTATGTCCCATAAATTAAGTCTCTGTCCCAGTTTGTTCCTCTTACATTATCTTCCTCCCGGCTCGCTAGCTCAATTGGTGGTCTCTTGTTTTATTTGCGTATGTAAAGCTGACTTTTTGAAGAATGTGATTGTTTAGTTTGATGTCTGATTTCTTGTATTTTACATAAACTCTGATGGAAACCACAGCTGCTGCACTGAAAATGTGGCAACGCACTGTAGACTGAGTGCTGGTCTTATCCAAGCATGTTACAAGTTGTAAAGGTGCCTCTTAGGTAATGAAGTTTAGGGTTGGGGTAATTAATTCAAATGGTTACTGTAACATTTGTTTTGTTACCTAAATGAATTGTTCAAGTGAGGAAAATCTCAACAACAAACAACAACAAAACAACATAACTTAGCATAACCACTGACCTGTCAGGGTCGTGGAGGTGTATTGATGGACACACGCACACAAATCCCGCCATCTTTCTATGTCTTCCGCTTGATCTATGAGTTTATGATGACTTAATCCTGTCCATTTCTTGATGTCGTCATTCCTGATTCTTCTTCGCCCTCTTCTTCTTCGACTATCCTCCAATGTTTCTTGAAGTACAGTCTTTGCCATGGAATCATATCTCACCTCATATCCCAGTCAAGCTAGCTTGGACGTTCCACCAGTCATTTTGAGGCTCCTGGTGTCCCGCAAATGTGTATATTTTGTCTTTGACGTATTTGTAAGTTTTGTGTTCTAAATAACTATTTCGTAAAATGCGTCTGTAACATTTGCACTCGAAAGCCTGAATCCTCCCCTCCATTTCCACAGTGAGAGAGTCATGTCCATATAAGAAAACGTCTGTTTCGATACAGCTGGTCAGTATAAATATTATTTATATTTAAACCATTGACGTCGAATCAAAAATTAAAAAAGGAAGCCCCATTAAAAAAAAATATCGCGTGTCTGTGATAGATAATTACCAAGAACCGCAGTACAATTGTCCGCACGTGTGTTCCGGGACCAGAACCGCAGTACAATTGTCCGCACGTGTGTTCCGGGGCCAGAACCGCAGTACAATTGTCCGCATGTATGTTCCGGGGCCAGAACCGCAGTACAATTGTCCGCATGTATGCTCCGGGGCCAGAACCGCAGTACAATTGTCCGCATGTATGTTCCGGGGCCCCATTTTTCTAAAGGTGTGTGTGGGAAAGAGGAGGGGGGGTTTAAGCCCACTACTCCTCTAATAAGTATATTGTAAAAGGCCACTATTTAGGGGTATGCTAAAATGAGATATGTTGGCCTGAATGGCACAGATATCGCCGCGGCCTAGCTGTAAATCACAGGCCAACCGCCTTTTAGGGGCGAACACAGAATAAAAAATCTAATGGCGATAACAATTAGAAAACTTGTATTTTTTTACACATGTATCAAAGTTGATATACTTGTCCCATCGTTTTATCAGTCCTCCCAAACCTACTGCATAGAAGTGCGTGCTCTGTTTTCTGAAGCTCATTTTCACTTAACTTTTGTGTCATTCGCGAAATGTCTCCCGCCACGGTGGGTTTTCAGTGCACCGCTTTACGGGATAAACATTTGTCAACATAAACAGGAAGCATTTCCTTATGAATGAATGTCCTTTGCAGGCAGCGCTCCCCTCTAACTAACGGAGATATAAAGTTCGATGTTGCTGTCACCTAATGACACCTTTAGAAACCATCAGCTGCATTTTCCTGCCATCCCATAACCATTTACGACGTACTTATTGTTGACTTATTGACTTCCCCTCGTATATATTCGTATATATGACGAACTCCTTGTGGTCCGGGTTCACTCCCAGGGGTAGGCAGAAAAGCCACATTTCTCCCAGATTAACGGTACCTATAATGGAATCAAGGCCCAATGGTTGCAATTTCCATAGTACCGAGCCAAAGGGTTTACAACTCATGGTTTCTGGATACGTTTTAAAAATTGAAAAAAAAAAAAAATATATATATATATATATATAATATATATATATATATATAATATATATATATATATATATATATATATATATATATAATTATATATATAAAGTCGCGTTAGCGCAGTCGAAAAGAGGCTCAAAGAGGCTCAAATCCAGCTGCGACTAGCTGCAGCCCACGGTCGGTGTTCGAAACCGGGCGGTTCCCGGGGTTCCCCCAGCCTCTAGGAAATGGGTACTAGATTTGACACACTGGAGTAAATTGAGGAACGTCGCTGTAGCTACAAACTTACATGCAGACGGCGACACAGGCAGACAATTCTTATCAGCTGTCCGTTCTGGTGGCAGAGCACTTATGGTTTACAACCGTGTGCAGTGACGCTGGTTCACATCTCCCGACTTTACATTATATATATATATATATATATATATATATATATATATATATAAAGTAATAAGAAGAATCATGGTAGGAGACACTGACCCGGCTTCTCACTCTCCATTCTTCACTTTTTGCATCTTTGATGATTCAAAGATTCGTCGTGCTCTGAAACGTTTGTAATAACGGTTTAGTGTCCAGCGATCTGCCTAAAACTAATTGATGATTGTCATTTTTTGTTTTCAGGCTGAAAAAAAAGAAGCTCTTGTACGCGCCTCGAAAGGTCTGCCAGCTAAAGGATCAAACATGAGGCCCAGCAAGCAGGTCAACGAAATGCTGGCGAAATTTCCCCAACCACCGACCAACCTCTTGTAATTGTGACCCCCGTGCTGTTGGGAGGTTTCAGAGGTGAGTGTCTGTCTCTGCTGTAATCTTCATTGGACAGCCCATGCCCAAGTGGCGCTGGACATTGTCTGTCTGTCATTAGCCTTCTGTCTGTTTCAGTCTGCTTCTTCTTCTTCTGTTTTCTCTCCTTCCTTTTCTTCTTCTGCATCGTCATCGTCTCCCCCTCATCCTTTTCCTTCTTCTCCCCCACCTTCTTCTTCTTCTTCATTTTTTCTTCTTCATTTTTCTTCTTCTTCTTCTTCTTCTTCTTCTTCTTCTTCTTCTTCTTCTTCTTCTTCTTCTTCTTCTTCTTCTTCTTCTTCTTCTTCTTCTTCTTCTCCTTCTCCTTCTTCTCCTTCTTCTTCTCCTACCTCCTTTCATTCACCTGTAAACTGGAAGAATTGTTCTGGTTGTTCATCCACCTCTGGAATTTGGTCTTGTTTCTAAACCTGAGTTTGTTTTATGTGCACAACCACTTTACAGATTTTACTTATTTGTATACAGACTGTTGGAGGTGACTGGTCATCTCGGTGACCCCATGGCACGTTGGAAATGAGACTGAGAGAGCTTAAGCCTTGTTTAATTTTGAAGTAATAATAATAATGTCTAATATTATAATAAGAATGACAAATAAATATAACAGCATATTTAAATTAAAAAAAAAAGAGATATGTAAATAAAAAGATATATATATATATATATATATATATATATATATATATATATATATATATATATATATATATATATATATATATATATATGATCAGATGCTAAAAAAGGCGTCCATCTGTACATGGTTTGAGCAGAAGAAACACGACAGTTATTGATGAAGGACATCACGCTAGTTATTGGGGAATGACCTCACCCCCCCCCCCCCCCCCTTTTTTCCCCCCACATAAAATATTGTTACAATAACCCCAAGAATTTTGGGGGTGGGTCACTCGAGTTGCCTCAAATCCCAGCTTTCTGTGCCAATGCCCGAACATCATCTAGTCAGTGTACCCAGTGCGTGTCAGGTGTGAAAAGCGTCTTTCACCTTCTCTATTGTTTTTCTGCCTTATTGCCAGTTGACGCCCACACCTATTCTTGTATTTCAGTAAAACAATGTTTGCCCCTCTGTCTTTCTTTTATTTGTTTATTTCAGGCGTGCGCGTTTTGGCATTGTCTCTCAGCTCTGTCTCAGACACATGTCCCCCTTCACTTCCCTCTCCATTTCCCTTCCAGTCTGCCCTCCTGGCTCTGGTTTCTCCATGTCTGTCGTGGCGTGCAGACTGAGAGCAGGAGTTTTTCTAAATGGCAGACAATATTTTGTCAGGTGCGAACTTTGGCAGAGGTTGCGCTGGTGCTCGCACATCAATCAAGGAAACCGTTTGGAAAAGTGAAACCGCTTGCAATTTCTCCATAGCAGTTTTTTAGACCTGTGAGCAAACAGAATTGGGTGTCCAACCGAGGTTCATATTGGCACCGTTGCTGTTACCGGAGAAAGCTGGCGTGTTTCTCTGTCTCTCTCCTCTCCGTCTTTCCATCTCTGTCTTTATCTCTCCTTCACGTCTCCGCGTGTGGGTCTCTCTCTCTCTCTCTCTCTCTCTCTCTCTCTGTCTGTGTATGTGTGTGTCTCTCTCTCTTTCTCTCACGCACGCTCTATCTGTGAGGCACATGTGCTCTCTCTCTTTCTCTCTCTCTCTCTCTCTCTCTCTCTCTCTCTCTGCCCCTCTCTCTTCGTAACAGTTTCTATGTGTCAGTTTGCCTATCTGCAACAGTCTCTCTGTCTGTCTCTCTGTCTCCTGCTATCTATCTATCTATCTATCTATCTATCTATCTATCTATCTATCTATCTATCTATCTATCTATCTATCTATCTATCTATCTATCTATCTATCTATCTATCTATCTATCTATCTATCTATCTATCTATCTATCTATCTATCTATCTATCTATCTATCTATCTATCTGTCTGTCTGTCTGTCTGTCTGTCTGTCTGTCTGTCTGTCTGTCTGTCTGTCTGTCTGTCTGTCTGTCTGTCTGTCTGTCTGTCTGTCTGTCTGTCTGTCTGTCTGTCCGTCCGTCCGTCCGTCCGTCTGTCGGTCGGTCTAAATCTATCGTTCTGTCTGTCTAGCTATCTGTATGCCTGTCTTCATCTCATATTTACACATACTTACTCATGCACTGAGGTTCATACTGGCCCGCTGAAACCTCAGTCGCAAATACACAACAGTTACTCACCCTTCACTCACTCATATTGTCTGTACTACACGCGAACCAGGGCTCCCTCGTATGGATAACCAACCCGACACCATCCGTCCGTCTTGTGAAAGATTGCTTCCATCATGACGACGTCGTCGTGTCTGAAAATGACTTTTAATTTGTAGTGGCATGCTTGACTGCTGACGGCTGGCATCCATTGTCAGAAACGGTATTATTTTCCAGTCTCCTTGTATGTGGTCCAGGGACCCGTTTTTTTTTTGGGGGGGGGGGGGGGGAGGGGGGGTTGGTGGTTTGATCCACTGATCTAAAGGGTGCTTGATTAGGCAGGACTGTTCAACTGGCGGCCCGCCGGGCAAGTCTGGCCCTTTGAGACCTAGCTAATGACCCGCGGATCTGCTGCCAGTTGTGTATTAATGATTTGTCTATGCTGGGCTGGGGGCCGCTGGCCCGCGACGATCCATATTTTCCAACATTTTGGCCCCCACGTAGCCTTAGTCCAGTTGTCCTGGTTAGGGGATTTGCTGAAGTCGAATGTGTTGGGCCCAAAAGGCGCAGATGTCGCAGCCTAATTGTAAACCACACTGTACCTAGTCAACCGTTCTGTTAACGGCGAACGCAGTTGTTATTTCCAGTCTTTAAAAAAAAACATGCGCCTGCACTGTACAAGCTTACATAGACTGCATATCGCGCTCTATAATTGTAACCAAAAAAATATACTACTTTGTTAATTAACTGCGACACTTCACAAAACTGTACAGCAGTATTCTAAAACTGGGTGCCGCGGGCGTATGTCAGGGGTGCCGCGGGCGTATGTCAGGGGTGCCGCTGGCGTATGTCAGGGGTGCCGCGGGCGTATGTCAGGGGTGCCGCGGGCGTATGTCAGGGGTGCCGCTGGCGTATGTCAGGGGTGCCGCTGGCGTATGTCAGAGGTGTCGCGGGCATATGTCAGGGGTGTCGCGGGCGTATGTCAGGAGTGCCGCGGGCGTATGTCAGGGGTGCTGTAACAATAATCAAGAATTTTGCAAAATCTGCTTAAGATCAGCGAAAACAGCCGTTTAAAACAGAAATACCATCAAAGAAGCCAAGAAGCGTTCTGAATGCAGGTGTAGTGTAGACTGCAGTGCATTCTCAACGTACAATTACATAAATAAATAAATTAAAAAAAGATACAGGAGCAACCTGCAAATGATCTGCTGGTACAATTAACTAAACTTTACACAAACATAAAGGAAATAATGAAAAAATTCGTCCAAACAGTTAAATTCCTCGCAATAAAGACAGCTGAACATTTAGTTAGCACTGGTTTTTTTTTTTCACTTCCTAAGTATTCAAACCGTTTTAAGGGGATGTGTGCCGTGAAATTTTTTTTTGCCCGACAAGGGTCCGCGGTGAAAATAGTTTGAGAAACGCTGCTGCTGTACAGTACAAACGTTACAAGCTGACAGGCTTTACTCGCATGAAACAGCAACTGGGTCTGGCCGGATAGGATCATTGCCTTGCTCTCTTGAAGGTCCTGGCACGGAAGGCTTGTTCCCTGTGTGGTTTCCGGGATCCCATTGGGGTGGGGGGGGGGGGTGCGGGGCTAGAATATACCTACTATCTCCCCAACAAACTTGTCTTAGGAGTCGGCTGAATAGGGGCTTCCTTCGAAGTTGAAGTGCATCTGCCTGAGCGGCAGGGAACCAACACTCTGCATACAAATGAGCCAGATCTATAAAACGGAGATGCCGCTCCGCTCAGGTTCTTGAACAAGACTAAAATCCTGCAGTGGACGAACAACCTGAAGTTTCCGCCGAAGTTTACCACCGAGGAACGCGAAGGAGAAAAAAGAGGAAGGCGGAAGATTTTGGACTGTTATTATAAAATGATCTAGACGCGCCTGGTGGGCAGCATTCTCGCCAGCTGTACACCGTTCCTTACAGCAGGACAAAGAGTTCTGTATCCTCCTGGAAACCTTGGCACTCCTGACAGCGTTTGCAACATTCTTCCCAGTAATCTTAATGACATTGTCAGTATGCTGACAGAATTCTGTCAGTTCTGCTGTAGACGTTGTTTGTTGGCTTCGTACTAAGCTGCACATCTTTGTCATTTTCTCAGTCGTTTTCCATCACAAGAAGGTCTTCGTTGGTAGGTACTTTTTTCTTAGTTCACCCCCAAACAACGGAAACCACGGAGTTCCTGGGAAAATCCGATATTCTCGGGGTGTAGTGGGTCAGGGTTAGTTGGTGTCTATGAGGCAGTCGGGGCTGACACAGATTCTAACCCTAACCTCAATCCATGAGACCCCTACAATGTTGGACTTGCATGGGTACTTCGAGATTCTCTTTGTTTGTTTGAATTAAAAAATAAAGTACCCGTTGATGAGCGGTGATAAATGAGATAGGAGCAGTTCGGCACACAAAGTTACGTCACCATCGTACACTTAAAACACCAGGATGCTTTCGGATTTGAACCTACTACCTTCAGATCCCATGTGCATTGGTAATATATCGCCTGCCAGTTCCTCTCAACCCTTCCGCTTCTCAGTCACCAGAAACACAATTGTCATATGTCTACGTATACAGTGTTCATCCCGAAAGGTATACCATTCCATTGCATTGTCTTCTATATAAATATACAACCCTGTTGAGGTGTCTGCTGCATGGGCTGTGATTTCGGATGCCCGTTTCACATATTCCAAAATCTGTAGGGTTACTTAGCCATTGAAGTTTTCGTTGCTGGTAAACACTATATCTGGAAAGGGATGACAAGATATAGACATTTAAGTGGAACTATATGCAGA